GAGGAGAATGAGTATGGTTGTTGTTGTTGTTTCGAGTTTGATTGTTTCGACCGTGAGTTTTGCGTCTGCGACCACGGTGCGCCAGCAGACGACGTGGTTCCCCAGCAATTTTTAGGCCAGCTTTTCCAGGCCCCCCGAAGGAAGCAGTGCCCTGACCCCTGAATAGGGGCTGCTTGATGTGCCGGCGCGGCCGAACTCCACTGTGGGCCACGAGTTTTTTTGGCAGTGGAAGAACGACTCGAATTTGCCAATGGCTTACGGCATTGCCGCAAGCCTGCGGTCTCCTACGGTGCACCAGATGGGCGCGTGTCGACGGTGCCAATTCGGAGATCCATCCCACCGGCTGATCAACGGCGTACCAGGCGGAGCCTCTCTAGACGATGCCGATGCGACGTTCCAGCAGCAACCGGCTGACCAGCGGTGTGTCAGACAGAGCCTCGTTACGACGGCGCCGACGCGGTGTTCCATCCGACCAACCGTCCACGGAGTCCGCAGTCACCTGTGCACGCGGCACAACGCGCACAGGGAGTAACCGCCCTCACCTGGTTTAGCCCGCCGGTCGAGACGGTTGCCCGGGGTGTGGCCGCTGAGCAGAGCCCAGCTACGTGGAGCCACAGGTGAGAGTTGAGTGCCAGCAAGTGGACGCTAGGCGTAGTCTCACCTGCAAGCAAGTGAGCGACCACTAGGACCTTCACGTGAACCCACCGCTGACACCCCTACACCCCCTGTCGGCAGTTAATGAATATAACGTGGTCATCCCGTTGTGGTTGATGGATTTAGGCCCAAATAACCATGCATCAAATTTCGGTTAGTGCCTAAGGATCTTAGTACAGATTGATCTACTCCAAGTAAGCAGTTGATTTCTGAGGAAATTAAAAAGCAACAACTTGTAAATTGGAGTATTTATCAGAAAGCAGAGGGGGAATGCTAGGAGACCCACTGATGATCCTAACCCCTCGCAGGTGTGCTATACAGCGCCAAAATCTCCGCGAAACACGCATATTTGAGCCTTCAGCTAGAACCTGTGCTGTTAGTATGGTATCCCTTAACATTACAATATATTACTAGCTGTATGTCGGTAGCTGGTGAATGTCACGTGGTAATCTCGCCATGGCTCATGAACTTCGGTCCAAATATTTACGCATCAAATTTCGGCTAACGCCTAAAACCTTAGTATAAACTGATCTAATCCAAGTTCGCTGTTGATTTCTAGGGATATTAAAAAGCAATGGTTACGGTCAGTGTTAGCACAAGGCTTAGGGCTAAATTCAGGGCAGTGAATTAGAAACCCCTAAAACTAAGTACGAGGTCAGTAGTAGTATGAGGGAACTTCTCTTACCGACTCTGACCGTAGCTGACATATGTAACTTAAAATTTGGCCAAAGAAAATCGTTGTTTTGAGGAATTACAAGTGATTTATTTAATCAAACACCCAGAAGTGGTGGGAAGTAAGCAACAGAGCCCGCCAGCAGACCACTTAACAAAATCTTCATAAACTAATAACACTTTAATTGAAAGTTAATTGATTTATAGTGCTAAATGCATTTCACGATTCACGGTTTATTGTCCATTGCCTTCTCCCAAGAAAAAATAAAGGAAAACATAGAAATCGGCTGGTTTTTACTTTAGCGCGGTTTCATTGCATAGACGTGCATAAAAATCTGATTTTTCAATTTGTGGGTTTTCCCTTTTCGGGGACAAAAATAAGATTTCTGATATCCACTTTTCTGCGTGATGCCATTGACACTATGCTTAAGTTTCTCTCATGAGCTTTAGTCTCTTATAAGTCACGCTCATGCGGCCGATATGTCTCGAAAACTTTCGTAACTTAAACATCATTGTCCCGTCTACAAGCGTCTTTTAAGTTAGACCGGTTTAAATACTCGTTTCACATTTAAGATGAACCCGCCGATTTTTGTCACTATTTGAGGAGGTGTTTTCCTTCGCAAGGCGTCAAGATTTTGAGTTATTCAGGACGAATTATTAACACAGCTACAGATGCTGACAGTTTGCGCAAAACGTCAGGCTAAATTTGAGAAACTAAAAGACGAGACTGTGCAATGATCACCTCTGTCTTCTGTGCAGTCATCAGCTTGCGGTCGGAATGTCAGTTAATTAATCATACGATAACATCCTCAACATTGTAGTAAGCGATTAGATTACCGCTGGCTGGGCACGTAGGTGGTCCGGAAACACCCACCACAGTGTTCCCGCTTTGTCAGTGAAACCACTGGACTGTCGAATTCCAATTGTTATGCAACATCTCGGCTGTAAAGCCTCCAGAATAATTCGGAAAATTAATAATTCTGGTATTGCCATCAGGATGGAACAATGCGCAGTGTATCCCTGTGGCAATAGCCGAGGTTCCCAAATAGTGTACTGCTTTTTTGAACGTTTTTGCCTCCCAGCGGCCACCTCCATTATTATGTTAAGGGGCGCTCACCGATCGTTCATACGGAACTCACTCGTTCCGTTGTGCCTTATGGACTCTCTCTCGAGCCCAACCAGCAGCCGCACAGCGGCGCATGATATATAGGCAGAATGGTATTGCCAACAAAGTCAAGGGAGACTGGAATGGCCATTTCTGGCTTATTAGCCGTCGTCAGCCAACCATACCCAAGCCCGAAGTGTGGAACACCCGAGCCTCGAACTCGCGACCTGTTGGTCTAGAAGTCAACGCCTCTACTCACCGGGCCACGAGCCCGTTGCCTTGTCGGTTTCGATCGGGAATATACAATGTTAGGGGGCGCTCATCGATCGTTCATACGGAACTCACTCGTTCCGTTGTGCCGCGAGTTCGAGGCTCGGGTGTTCCACACTTCGGGCTTGGGTATGGCTGGCTGACGACGGCTAATAAGCCAGAAATGGCCATTCCAGTCTCCCTTGTATTTGTCGGCAATACCATTCTGCCTATATATCATGCGCCGCTGTGCGGCTGCTGGTTGGGCTCGAGAGAGAGCCCTTAAGGCACAACGGAACGAGTGAGTTCCGTATGAACGATCGGTGAGCGCCCCCTAACATTGCATATTCCCGATCGAAAACCGACAGGGCAACGGGCTCGTGGCCCGGTGAGTAGAGGCGTTGACTTCTAGACCAACAGGTCGCGAGTTCGAGGCTCGGGTTTTCCACACTTCGGGCTTGGGTATGGCTGGCTGACGACGGCTAATAAGCCAGAAATGGCCATTCCAGTCTCCCTTGTCTTTGTCGGCAATACCAACCTCCATTATTCCTCTATGTTCAACTGGGTAAAAGAAAGACCGCTGATTCGGCTGATTAGATTGTTAGCAAAAATGATTTCTCCTGGGACTGATTGGTCGAAAAGTACATTTCTGATATACATTTTTCGCTTTGATATACTGGTTTAAAATGGAAATGGGAGCCGCCACATGTACTGGGGTCCCCATTCTTGTGTTCTGTCGAGATATTTTTTCTCAAGGTTGCATACCTAAACTCCAGTCACAAGTCTACAGAGACCAATCCAGCAAACTATTCAGGAATTATAAATCAAAGCAAGGCAAACTTGTTCTGGACGCATAAAAATTTTCAAAATGCCACTTTTGAGACTGCTAATACTCTGAAAGGCAATTTCAAAAACTGTTCTCGACCAATCCCGCCTTAAATGTGGAGGGTAGGAATAGGTTAGCAACTCAAATCACCTGCGTGTATATTCATTACTTTACTTGCTTCTGTGGAGCGGGCTAGATTGGTCATACGAGTCGGCGGCTAGCGACAAGAATACGAGAACAACTTATAGTATGGCTGTGGAAAGGGGAAGTTAAGAGCACATACAGCTCCATCCTCGCACACTTGGTTGATTCTGGAACTCCAATTCAGCCTTCCGTGTGATTTATATTGTGCCACCTAACCACCGTAAACGACAAGACAAAGGGTATTAGAAACAGTAGAAACGACTGCCATCAAACTACGGAAGCCTGTGCACGCCAAAAACCGGTTAACTGCATGCATGTCCCCGAGTCCCGTTCCCTCCATCGTGAAATGGGTCTATCTAACCACCAGCCTGACTTATTACCTCCTTCCTCCTCCCCCTCGCCCTCCCCCTATCCGCACACCCTACTTGTATGAAAAGACGAACTGTAATCAATTTCCCTTATCCCTTACGAGGTTTGCTTTGTACCTCGTTCCCGTATAAATGCAGTTGCTCGATGAGAATTTACGAAAGCATGCGTATGCTCACTAAAAAAGAGGATTTGTCTGGGTTTGCGGATAGGATCGTCATATCAACGAAATGTTCCATAAGACCACCTGTCGGGAGGGCGGCCAGTTATGGAGAGTTTCTATTTGAAGTAACAGATACGAGTCTTCAAAACCATTTTTCATGATTGCGTTTCTACCCCGAAATTAATCTTTGGTCTTAAGCGATAATGTCCGTTGAGTTACAGAATGTCGTTAAAGTGTCCGTGATTGTTCTATGATTCTAACTTGTCTCAAAAGGTTCCTCCCATACTTTCAGCCCGTGAAAGCCCTTAAAATATGGTGGTACTTGAAGTCTTTTACTCATTTAGAGCTTTCGATCAGATTATTAGCCTCATATGTAGGCGAAAATTTTATCAGCGGAGCAAAAGGAACGTCTACCATGACAAAAGATCGACAAACTACATGCATATGCCCCCGTCCCATTCCCTCCCTTGTGACAGGGGTTTACCAAGCCCTCACTGTCACTTACTGTCTCCTCTCGCCCCTATCCCTCCTTATTCACACACGCCGCTTGTAAGTGAAGACAAACCGTAATCGGCTTCCATATCCCTCACAATTTTTAATTTGTATCCCGTTCCCATATAATTGTATTGCCTCGATGGGAATTTATCGAAAGAACTCGTATGCTCGCCAACTACTCTTCTGAATTTTAAAGATGTTTATTTTCCTTTAAAATGCGAAAGACAGTAATGCTAGCCTATTTCTACTCAAAGCAGTAAGCAGATATGCATGAACCCTGAACTTCTGGTAAGTGAACAAATACTGCCTTATTTACTGCTCTTTACATGATGAAGATCGACAAGGATAAGAAAAGCAGCAAATGTGAGTCAGGAGAGCCGACGATAAAGTATGAAATTTGATTCAATATCACCTTAATTCGGGACTTTTTCAGACAAAGGCGAGGACATTGGAATGGGTTTTCCCGCGGCCTTCGACAGCATGAGCTAGCAATGTTCCCACCGCAGTCTTCGCTTCCCGGAAAATGGACATTTCCATTTTTGCAAAGGCGCTAGTTAAAGGCTAGCTAGTACATTTGCTGTCAAGTACGATGTTTCCTGATACCTACGCGTATACCACCGGCTGTTTCTTAATAGTTTATGAATACTACGCGGTTGTTCAACTGTGACTAATGGACTCCGGCCTAAATATTCCTATCAAACCTCAGTTTGGCCCTATAAACTCGGAAAGACCGTCCATTTCCAAATTAGCGATTATTTTTTGAGGAAATTAAAAGACCACAGGTTGCACCTTTGCTGGCTGCCATGCGGGCGCAAAGTCCGCGTGAAACCTAGTCACCCATTTTAGTCATGCAATTAAGATAGATAGTCGCGCGTAGCGCCCACGCGACAGTCGGTTGTCACGAAAAGCGTGCACCTTGAAGGAGGCGGCATGCACTGCTGATGGAGAAAAGGGTAGCTACATTAAGTCTATTCGCTACCGATTTCTGAGAAAACGCGGAAAATTTAAATTTGCGGCTGAGATGAAGACCAGCCGGGTTGCAGAAAAAAACGCAGTCTAGTGAGTTTATAATGTACTGAGGGTATGTGGGACCAAACCTCAAAACCCTTGACTGCTGTCTTGTTTGATTTCCCAGGAAACGCTGAAAGACTCGTAGCCTCGTCATGCATCGACACGAGACAGGCGAAACACTCGTATTTTGAGTTTTTAACTGTGCTGTCAGTATGGTTAATCATTTGGTATTTGTACACAGGACTGCAAACTGGCAGCGAAGTTGGTGTGTGCAACCTGGAGTGTGTGACCTAACTCTTGAGAAGTAATGACAGAATGTGATATGAGAATTTTCATACCCAGTGAACGTCGAACATTTTGCTCGCTCACCTAACCCCATCAAGAAACTGTCATTTTCTTGTGCAGAAAATGTGCTGAGCAATTTTTTCAATAAAAATATCCATAAATCTGAGCAAATGTAGACAGCGTGTTATATTCGGGCAATTTCCTATCCCAATACCTTTCCTAGGCTTCGATTGCGCGTTTAAGTTTGCTTTCCTTCTAGAGGAAATTAATTTGCTCATGGGAGTTCTATTCGACAGAGTTTACCGCTCTCGAAAAATGATTTCGATTACGGTGCTAACTGTAGGAATCAGTTTATTAGCACACAGGTTATTTTAAGAGAACCACATGTTTTATCGATTTTGATCAGTCTGCTTAGCAAATTCGTGGGATATTGCGCTCATGAAGGCGGTTATAATGCAGACAGGCTTTCCTTAATTGAAATAGGCCGAAACTGTCTCATCAATTGGAAAATTATATGGGTTAGCACCAAAATGACTATCACCTAATGATTATTTTCGGCTTTGGGCATATAAAGTCTTACGTTTCGTGCGGTCTAGATTCCGCAAAAACGCAATTTAGAAACGGAACTAACAACACGCTAACGGTTTCAAAAAACTACCATATCTATATGGTCACTCCTCCGTCATTCATAATCGTAAAACACATTCTTAAAATAAGCAAAGATTGCCAAATGGACGCAATATAAAGAGATGGGCATGTTGATGTGTGCGGTGAAAAAGTATCAGAATCTTTCGGCAACGTGACGCGAACGACCACAAGTGTCTAAGTTCAATTAGGCTGCCCTGTGTAAAAAACATAACACACAGATCTCCATTAACAGAATACAACATTGAAGCACTCCTGAAAAGATTAACTTTTATAAGAGAAAATTTTCTAATTGATCGAAAACATATTCGTTGTTAACTATTGTTTTGGGCGTTCATTTTTTCGACGATGAGGTTCACTGTTTAAATGAGTCTTTCTGTGTGACCCAGATAACTTTCTTTATGAAAACGAACTTCCCAACCACTCAATACCTCGTCAAGGCGTCTTTAGGAAGAATAGTACTACAAAGGCTTCAACAAACACATAACACAGAACCTGCCTTTGTGCGCAGTTGACTAAAAACACTAAAAATCAGCGACATTTCAAGGCCGATCTAAAACTTTACGTAATCCGTGACGAAGAAAAAGTATAAATTTATTTCACAGAACAAACCTCTTTATATACAAAAAATGATATGGGGCCGGAAATTCATATGGGAACTCACCCAATCCGTTTATCGATCTGGTGCCGGCGTACAGAGTCCTGCTCAGCCATCACAAGTCTTGAGAAGTCAGTCGATGATTGGTTAACACGGCTCCGTAATTATCGCTGTTACTGTCTCTGGCAATGGACTTCTGCACGAGTTCCGGTGTTCGAGACCCTTCTTCTTTACTGACACTAAAGTATATGCTAACGATCGCCTTTGTCAGATATATTAAAATGAATTAGTCGCCGACCGGTTTAGCAACATGTGACGTTCATGTCGGCAAACCAAGCCTGATCCAGCTTGCTTTAGCACTTTGGATCTCAGTTGGTGCGCTAAGCTGAATAATTCAATGAATTCTCGGCCACCTGTTTCAAAGTCTACACTTGCAATGTAGGCTTTTAACAAACCTCCTCACCTAAAACTGCACTATTTCTTAGGGGATATTAAAATGTAAACTTCATTAAAACAATAGTATTGGATGTCCGTTTAGTGGCGCTTTCGCATTTACTCAATTGTCTGCATGCAGAGACATTCCATTATCTAAAACTGAAATTTAATTCAGTTAAAATTCTTTTTGGCGCTTCAGGGATTTCCGCATTTTTAAAAATTGATATTTTCGAAGAACGTTATATTAACTCTAACTGTTTTTTATGTTTTCAATTGCCATGGAGTTGTTTATTGTTGAAATAGACATTGGGTCCATGCATTGGTTTCGGTTTGCGAGTGATTAGCAATCTATTGAAAACTTCGACACCTTTCATCACATAAGTTACGTACTGTAAAAGACCAAGGATTACCATAAGATGTCAGGTTTAAACCAATATCTGTGAGATGCCTTGCTATTGAACTGTTTGCACAAGAGCATTTTTGTCGGGATTGGGATTTCTGGCCAGACCACCACTTGTTTGATCATACGAAACCAAACTAAGGAAATGCCAGTCGAAATTCTTAACTGTGTTTCCAATTGGGAAGGACTGCTTAAGTAAATTGATAGAATTGATTATCATACAGTCTAATCTCAAGATGTCTCTACCACACACGTATTTTGGCTTCTTTTTGTTCATTCGCCATAGCAACACTCGGCAAGTAAAAATTGCTTATTTTAGGCCAATTTTCTATCAGCTGCGGATGTCCTTATAAATCCAAACATATGTTAGAGGAAAAAGTGGTAAACATTGTCATTTTTAACTTACTTATGAGCAGATCTCGTCCTCTTTTAATCATAAACTCGATGGGTCTCTTTAGGTTTCAGGTATGTTTCAATTTCTGGTTAGTCTTTAATTTTGTCCGCATCTGTGTTCGCGTCTACATTTTTAAGTCATCATGTCGTATACTTTCCGTGGAGGAATAAAGCACCCATTCGTTGATGTTTTCGAGATGTTTTACAGAGCACATTTATTTTTTCAATGGATGTGAACTATGTTGTTAACTTTATAGGGAGCGCTAGCAGTTGGACATTTGTAAACTTTCGTAAACCAAAAGATGTCGCTTATACGAGTATATATTTTGAAGAAGACACGAATTGCTACCAAATTGGTACAAGGTGATAACGAATTATGTTCTATACTGCTACATTTGAGCGGCGTTCGCTGACACAACCCAGACTACAGGGCAGAAAAAAGTGTTCAGGTTAGCAAAAGTAAGAGATCCGGGTCGGTAATCTGAGGAGAATGAATTGCTCACCGGATCGGGGGACTTTTCTGGCTGACGTTTCGAAGAGCTGGGGCTGCTCTCCATTGTCAAAGCGTCAAGTGAAAAAATCGATCAGCATTTTTGAATAGACTGCCGCATTAGTTGGCCCTGGGCTGATCGATTTTTTTTCTTCCTTCTCTGCCTCGGCGATTGTTGAAACAGGGTGTTTACTTGCTCGACGTTTCCGATTCCCACTCAAGCTTGTCATCAAAGACAGTCGCAAGTGGGAGTGATAAGTGCACATGAAGTACATTAGTTACTGGCCGCTGTTGCTCGACAACCACATATCACAAATAATTGTCGGCACTTACACTTATCACCGGGAATCGTATTTATTGCGACAACCGCATGCCAATCTGTGCATGAACCGTTAATTGTCGTATTTTTACGATAGTTTTCGGTTCTGGACATGATAAACTTGCTACAGCGACCGCACCTTTTTCTTAACCGTTTCTTTGATCTGACGTCTTTCGTCCCACCGGATAGCTAATGCTTATCTTAAAAGCAAGGATCGGATATGTAAACTTACTGGTAAAATGGAGCCCGAGACTCCTGTATTACGGAAAGGGTTTTACTATTACAGTAGGTGGGCTAACTCATGAAATGCCAGCTGAAATTCCGAAATGCGTTTTCGCTCCGAAAAGATTAATTAAGTAGGGTTGTAAAGCCAGTCAGTCTGCAGAATACTCCTATAATATTTCAGTTATCTGAAGATGCCGGCTTTCGAATGAACTTCTTTCAGGTTGCATGTTAAAAACTACACCCTGCAAAATATGACTACTTATGTAGCATGAATTTTTCTCATTGATTTTTGATGTCTCTGAATTTTCAATTATATTTCATAGAAAGCATGCATAAAAATGTTCATTCTTTTGCTCCTTTGGTAGATACTTACATCGTCTTCCAATCTTATATTCGAAGTTAATGTATACTTCGGTCTTCAAAAATTTTCCAGTTCCAGGAAAATATTCAATCCGCTCGACCGTTTTGAGGCAGTCGAACGTAAATCTAATTGCAACCATGGACCTTTCCCTAACCCCAATCGCTGAGTTAACTGCAGTCATGATAATCTTCTTAACTTTAGCCATAAACGCAATTCTGGTACGACTTGCCCACCTTAATCAAATAAGGAGCTCGTCACAATAGCAAAAGCGTGGACTTACATATTCGAGCGCAACCTTTATGGACTTGCTTCCGTTTATACAGAAATCCTGGTCCGGCGGCGATCAAAGTTACATCAAGGTACTTCCGAAATCACGCACTATTAGCTTTATTTTAAGACGCTCGCTGTGCGTTTTGACGATTGCTTTCGTTGAGTCACGACCGGTGATTTTTCAGTCGCCCGAGATGAAGGAGGAAAACGGCGCGCTAGTATGGACCAACCGTCAATCACTTTCTTTTCCCCGATGCACGAAAATTGAATTGACGGGCGAACATGTGATGGGCTGAAATATTCAAGATATTATTATATCAAATATTACATTATATGTATTAAAGTATATCTATTATGCAACATATACTGCATAAGATATTTTATCATTATAATGTCATTATATTATACATATTATTCAAGAACCAATTAGTAACCGGAACTTCCCTATAGTATGTCATCGTCTTTTTGACCCCTGTTGGGGTGTTGTTGCTTTTGTTGATCAAAAACTTAGTCACATGTTGTGTGGACCGGGGGATTAAGTGGACCGCCGAGGTGTGTGCTCGACCGTGCCATCCACCAGCGCCCTCCGCCTCTGGTTTTCTTATTTCTGTCTTGACACCGGATGCAGGTGGGGAGTAGGGAGAAGAGGATGCAGTATATACCGAGCAAGCCCAATATCGCTACAAACAAACTCACGCGCAAGTCACCGTCCTTTCTTCATCTTGCTCTGGGGCACACGGTGGATATCGTCGGAAAGGACGGTCGAACTGTCGATTGGTTTTTGAAGGGGTAGAATTGCGCAACTGATCCGTAATCCGGCTCACTGATCTCTGGACCATGCCGCTGTTCATGCATGTTTCTTGGTTGACAGAAACTGAAAATCTATTTTAAAACCCATAAAACATATTTCCCAACTTGCATGGATGTTTTGCGTATCCTTCCCTGAATAGACAGTATACGCTGAGATTTGACTGTAAACAAAAATAACACTGACCATTAAATTAATTATTTTGACGGGCGTAACTTTTTTCGGAGTGGAATTGGAAACGTCCAGTAGAAACACAAATAACTATGGTTCTCTTCTTCCGAAAATTGCACAGAAAACGCTTGACAAACGCATTAAGCTGCCAAAGAAGAATTCCGCTGGTGAAAACGCCTGGTAAACAACGTCCCAGTAATTTAATTCCCCTTTTTCCCGCACAGTTCTGACGTCAACAGTCGTTTCATCTTGTTTGCCATGCAAAAGGTTTGACAACCAGTCTCACGGGACGCCTGAGACCGTTGTAACGCTTCTAGCTTCTCCACCTCGAAACTTTAACAAAGCGCTCAGGCAGCAGGAGGCTTTTTAACTGGCATCATTAACAGTCTACAGCTTATTGGTCTAAACCGTTGAAGCTGCATACGGTACTACAGATTCGGATGAGAGAATGTAAGAATTTCGAGGGCGACACTCCGAGGAGAGCTGTCGGCTATTTGGAGCAGGTCTAAATGATGCATCAGACTATTTTATTCCCCGTGGAGCAGTAGTACAGTATGGTACAGTCGAAGATGCTGATTGAAATGTTAGAAACATTCGCGAATTTTCTCTAGGATTTGGGAAAAAGATGCAGGAATTTGAACTTCATCAACGAAGGGTCATGATCAAGCCGTCTTTAGGTAAAAAAACTGGTTCGAGAACGTTTTTCATTTGCGTAAGAAATATATCGCTTACCGACTCTCATTCTGGAAAAACATGTACTTCTGCGATGAGGTCTTCTCTTAAGACAAGCGTAAAAAATCGGCTCTGATGGTCATATATGGAAAGAACTTTCGAAAAAAGCATAGCCCGCATACGGAAATCCTCAAGAACTGTCGATGGTTAGCGGTCTGGGTGGTTATTAAATTCGGAGAACTACCAGTCTGGCGATTGACTACGGACAGCATCAATCACAGGATGTGTGTCAGAATTGTGAAATATATTATCAGTTACAACGACATCAGCCGACGCCGAATGGATAACATAATTTTACTTAAAAGTTCCCCTGTCCATCGCTCTATAGAGATATGAGTCTGAAAACTCTTGCAAATGCAAGTAAGATATGGTTATGCAGTCGCACCTGATAGATACAATATTGTAGGGGTTGGAGTTAGTGGTTATGGTTAAGGGTTAGAGTTAGGGCTTACGGTTAAAAATAAGGGTGAGGGTTAGGGGTTGGGCAACTATCTCTTGACCACTTAAAGTACAACCGCACATTCCCACTAGCTTTTCTTTTGCGTACAATTACTTGACCTCATCGTCTGTGCGTTCCCCGGCCCCACCTGTAAAAACCCCCTATTAACACCGGTCCCGTATTACAAATGGCTGGGGTTTGTTTACTTCAGGTGCGGCAACATAACCACACCTGACCCAAATGTAATCAAACTTCTGGACAAGAACCCGCCTCGCCGCATATGGCCTCCAATAGATTTCTAACTCTGCCAACAGCCAGGATCTCAATCCTATCAAAAGTATGTTCGCACCCATCAAAAGAAATCGCCATAAGGCTAGGCAAAAGCTGTTAACAAAAGAAAAGTTTGATTTGCGCTCGATGATTACGCTGGACAATCCTTTGTAGACACCTTGGTCATCTCCATGTCTGATAAAATTTCTGCTGTGTTAAATGTAAGCGGTCGATCAGAACACTACTGATATTTTGTACTTGTTATTGTTTTCCCTTTTAATGAGTCACTTTCTCTATGCACCATTACAACTAGCACTATTTAGGCGTTTTGCAGTATAGCCTTTTTCTAAAATTCTAGTTTTCGGTGAAAACTGATACTTTTCATTAATAAGCATTAAGTTGTAGACACAACTACGCCTCCGTTTTATAAACGGTTGTGCTTTCGCTGGTGTACGACTTTGAGAAACGCGGTTTTTAACGGAGTTAGCGTTATGAGGTGTTCTTGGGATAAATCGTGACATTTCATGAATTATCACATCAACGGCACATTCGCTTAGGAATGGTCACACACCAATCCACTGGCTTCCGGAAGAAAACAGCATCGTATGAGTGACAGGGTTCACAAACAGGCCATCACCTGACAAGGCGAAGTCGGCCAAGCTATGATAGCAGAGGGTAGACGACAAAGTCTGAGGGGTAGATTAAGTCGGATGGTTGCCTGTTCGACTATCTAACAGTCATCACGCCAAGTAAAACAATCCCCGATGAAGAGGGTGGGGTGGGAAACCGTGAATTTTCATATATTTGCGGCAGCATGGCGACTGCAGCCCCATGTCCATGAACCACCCACGTCTGCAATTGTCTCTGATGACGGGTTAGAGCTGGAAGCTGAAGTGTCAGGCAAATAATGCTCTTGTTCCAGGGGTCATGTCTCTTTCTCTATGACTGCTTCCTGGGACTCGTCTCTTCGCTTCTATTGTTAAATCTTTCTATGTCGGAACAGTAAGACCCAAGCAATGGCAGGAGTCCCCATGTGGCGAGAGATTAACTTGTTGATTGGTGGATTCTGTCCGGATAAACATAGGCTGGTAATGACTGGAGATGCGGAAACAGCTATAGTATCATGTTGCTTTTGACAAGTTGACAAGTTAACCAGTGCCAAAAGAAGAGAAGATACACGTTTCAGGAGGCAGTCCTGAAGAAGGAGACACGATCGCTGAAACAAGAGCTTTATCCGCCCGACGTTTGGATCCCTTCGCGAACCCATCATTGGAGACAACAACAGGCACAGGTTGTTCATGTATAAGCGACTGGAGTAAAAAAACGTCTGGAATCGTTTACCGGATAGGATGCAGTTGTGGACAAATCGGTTACGTCGGAGAAACCGGGCGACTGCCCCGAACGCGAATGGCCGAACACTCGGTGACAGTGCGGGGATATGACGCCGCTCTCTAACTGCGGTTCGTTCGACGAGATCCCACCACACATTCAAGCTCGACGGGACTGCAATGCAGACTAGATTTGTCAAATGAGTACGCCGCGGGCTGCTTGAGTTATGCATACTGGTCCGCAGTCTACTTACAAGTGCAGCAACCTCTCCTTTCAATATTCGGTGCTGAGACTTAGCCTACGCGGAGTAATAAGCTCTAACGGTAGCGCACAGTTGAACACTGTTTCCAACGCCAGGATCGGTGGGTCAGATGGTCGAGCAATCATCACACCAACATCCAACGCACGCAATGCAATTGCGGCAATTAACGACCCCAATGTCGGCCACCAAACAGTCATCACACCAAGTACACCGATCCCCGATGAAGGGGGGGGGAGGGAGAACCGTGAATAATTATAGGTATGCGGTAACATGGCGACTGCATCCTATAAATACTGCAGCCGCTTATGCATGAAGCATCCGTTTCTGTTTTTGTCTCTGATGATGGATTCGAGCAAGAATCCGAAACGTCAGGCTCCTCTGCGGGCGCCAGGTCATGCTCCCTACCATCAGCAGACAGCTCTCTTTGAACCGAGAGGCCAGACACTGTGGGTCAGCAACTGTTTCTATGTGAATGATTCGACAAATAAGAACTGTATACAAGGCGGCACCAAACGAACGTCATCCCTGAACTTCTCACAGTGGACTCATGCACTCATGGAAAGCTACCCTAGGTGATCTAATCGGCCGTGTGTGAGTGTGTGTGTGTCCCAGACGGGCCACGTGTTAGTTGCGCTGAACCAACACGGGGTCCGCATCGGATACTGGCAGGCGTTATCTGTGCGCGAGAACAAATGCCAACATCTGCGGGGTGCGCTGGCAGACCCAGTTGACGGCAGTCGTCGCATAACTGGGACCACTGTCATCATCCGGTGGGAAAGGTAGAGAGAGTGCGGTAGATGCAGCGCAAGTCACCGTCCTTGCCCCCGTCCTGATGTGGACATCGTCGGATGCGACCGTCGAACTGTCATGTGTGTGTGTGTGTGTGCATATCTTGCACAGTCACTGGACCCAGCCCAACACACACCTCGTCCAACAGCACATTCACCTCTCACACCGGCCTGGTCGGTCATTTGAGAATCCATCTCACAGAGGCTGGCGAATTAGTGCCTGGAGCACCCACGTACGCTCGCCGCATCCGCCTCCTCTGCCCTCATTAACTTGCTCACCTACATCACACAACACCATCAACCACCACAAGCACCCAATTGCCGCCTACCACGTAAGTGAGGTGTGTACGTCTCGGCTCTTCCTCCATGCGGCTCCTCTGCTGCACGCGTTACCCAAATCCAGGACTGTCACGGCGCGCCAAGCACCGCGGCATGTAAAACTGCTGACTCAGTCCACGCGGTTTGCCCAATTGCGTGTGTTTGTATGGAGTGGCGGACTGGTGGGCTGATAGTCAGGCTAAACCGGCTACTTCTTAGCGTGACCTACGCCAGTCACGCATGTGAGATATACGCCGCTCAACCCCCGTTGTGTGAAATGCTGGTGCTTGTGCCTGGGGGCCAGGCCGTGCATATGGCGCGCGCAGACAAGGTCACTGGATATGTCAGCCACCGCGCCCAGAAGACGAAGAAGAAGAAACGATCGCCTCACGTTTTGGATTCTCACCTGAACCCATCATCGGAAACAGTGACAGAAACGCTTGACTCGTGCATATGAAGTGGCAATATTTATGAGATGCAGTCGCTATGCTGCCGCATACCTATGATTATAACCACGCTCCCCTTCATCAAGTATTGTTGCTCGCTGGTGCACTACCTGCTTGATGACTAGTTGGGACGAGGACGGAGTGCGCCGTAACAGAACCAGAAGCTGAATAACAGTAATATGCTACCAAAGAGAGTTGAGGGGACTAGAAAGAGAAGACGTGGAAGAGACGATGGGGTTTTGATGGAGGTGTTGACGCTGAGAGTCTCGCGAGAGGGGATAATCGCGAGTTGTTTGAGTCATGGTTCAAAGGATCTCAATCTATCAACAAGTGCAACGACACCCCAATTCCATATTCCGTGTTGAGGGCGGAAGCCGGTGAGCCAGATGGTCGCGCACTCACCATGCCAGCAAACGAGACGAGCGACAAAATCGCGCCGACCCCAAATTCTGGCGAGCGATCCTGTACATCAAGAACGTCTCCGAGGCCGTTAGCCGCCTTCTTGCACCACTTGGGGTTGGAGTTGCGCACAGACCAGAGGCCCCCATGAGGCGTCAAGTGATTAGACTAAAAGACCCACTGCCACGGCAAGAAACATCTGGAGTCGTTTACCGGATCTGGTGCAGTTGCGGACAAAGCCACTACGTCGGAGAAACTGGAAGACTGCTCCGCACGCGAATTGCCGAACACGTGGCAGCTGTACGGAGAAATGACGCCAACTCTCAGGTCGCGGCCCATTCGACGAGACCCGGCCACACATTCAAGTTCGATGAGGCCGAAATTCTCGCGAGAGGGGATAATCGCGTGAGCCGCGAGCTGCTTGTGTCATGGTTCACGGGGCCCCAGTCTATCCACAAGTTCAACGACATTCCCACATTCCCATTCCCTGAGGCATAGGCTGGCCAAAGAAATTGACCACTCGGAGAGCGCGCAAGCACACGAACCAGATGGCCGAACAATCATCACGCCAGCATCCAACACGAGTGATGAAATTTCAGCAAGTGCCAATTTGCATGCCGGCCATCAAGCAATTAGCGCACCAGCAGGCAACAATCCATGGTGAAGGGGAGCATAACGGTAGCATAGCGACTACATCCTATAAATACTTCAACTTCTTGTGCACGAATCACTCGTTTCTGCCACTGTCTCTGATGATGGGTGCAAGTGAGAATCCAAACCGCCAGGCGAATAAAGCTCTTGTTCCAGCGGCCGCTTCTTCTTCTTCTTCTACTACTACTACTACTACTACTACTTCTTCTTCTCCTTCTGCTTATTGTCAAGTACTTCATGGAACTTACATCATCGCTTGTAGCACTAGACTGTGTCAGCCACCGCGCCCATTCCCCGCTCCAGTCAAATGACCGGCTCGGACAGGGACTGAGGCAGAGAGAGTGAGGCCGACGACTCAGCGCATTTTCCTCACCAAACACAATCTGACACACCCGAAGCTATCACGGTGAGTTAAAAGCTGTGGCTTTGAGGGTTGCCAACTGACGGGATAACTTGGGCCTCGCATTTGGTCCAGTGTTGTATGTTTATGTGGAGCGGCCGACTAATTGTCTGAAAGACAGGCTGAAAAGGCGTCTTTTTAATGTGGCATTTATGGCACTCCCACTCTGTGGGATCCGAGCCGGGTGTTGCGGTACGCCTAGGGGCGGCTTCCTAACTAACTCTGACAACTCTTCTGTACCATCACAAATTCCATCCTCCTCCTCCTCCTCCACTGCCTCAACGACGACCGTTCAGACTGCGTCTCACACATCACCAACCCCAACACAACAACCGACACCACTCCCACCTCTCCCGATCCCACTGATGAGGATCAGGACTACACCTGCCCTCACTGCGACCGCACCTTCACCTCACGCATCGGCCTGGTCGGTCACTTGCGAATCCATCGCACAGAGACCGGCGAACCAGTGCCTGGAGCACCAACCTACACCCACCAAGCTCGCCTCCACTGCCCACACTGCCCTCGCACCTTTACTCATCGCTTGGGTCTATTCGGCCACATGCGCATCCATGAGAGCGGCATTGACCGCAGCCTTGACACACCCACAACGCTAGGCCCCACACCCAGTTCATCACCTTGTGCACCCACCAACCTCTCCGCAACCGCCGTCGATGCCACCGACTTTTCCACCTCTCACTCTTCCCCTTCCTACTCCTCTTCCTCCTTCACTGCCACAACGACGGCCGCCTCGGCGTCTGTCGCCCACGACTTCACCAAAGCCGCACCTGACACAACAACAGGCACAACCCCTGCAACCTCCATCATCAGACGTGAGGGCCAGGACTACATCTGCCCTCACTGTAATCGCACCTTCACTTCACGCATCGGCCTGGTCGGTCACTTGCGAATCCATCGCACAGAGACTGGCGAACCAGTGCCTGGAGCACCAACCTACACCCACCAAGCTCGCCTCCACTGCCCACACTGTCCTCGCACTTTCAGGCATCGTATGGGCCTATTCGGCCACATGCGCATCCATGACGACCTGCGGTAGACAACCGCCGGTTACACCGCACATTCACACACTCCCTACGCTCCTCCACCATCAGCAACACACGTCAACACTCACCCACCGCATGCACAAACTGCCACCTTCCACGCAAGTGGGAAGTGTGCATCCCGACTCGGTCCCCATGCGGCTTCGGCTGCACGGGCGATTCGAGTCCGAGACTGTCCCGACACGTCAAGTGTCGAGGATAGGAAGGTTGCTGATTGACGCCCGCTCTTGGTTCACGCAGTTCGTCACGTTGTGTGGGTGTTATGTGGAGTGGCGGACTGGTGGGCTGGTGACGGGCTGAAGCAGCACCTTTCACGGCCCTCTCACGCAAGTGAGAGTCACGCCGTTCAACCCCCGTTGTGTGAAATCCTGGTGTTTGTGTGTATGGGGGGCCAGGTCGTGCTGTGGCGCGCGCAGTCACGGTCAGTCGACCGTGTCAGCCACCGCGCCCATTCCTCACTCCAGTCTGCTGACCGGCTCGGACAGTGGCTGGGGTGTGGGAATGGGAAGGGAGAGTGAGGTCGACGACTCAGCGCACTTTCTCCTCACTATAAACAATCTGACGCGCTTGAAACTATCACGGTGCGCTAAAAGCCGTGGCTTGGAAGGTTGTCAACTGACGGGGTACCTTGGATCTCCTCCTTTATGGGAGGCGGTCTGAGAGTCAGGCTGTAATGGCTCCTTTTTAATGTGGCATTTATGGCATTCCCACCACAGCGTGGGATCCGAGCCAGGTGTCGGCGGCACGCCTAGGTGCGGCTTCGGCCGTGCCAGCCTCTAAATCTCTGTTGTGTTGGTTGAAATCCTGGTTATTTGTTGTGTGGACCAGGGGGTATGGTGGAACGCCAAGGTGAGGATCCGTCCGAGCCATCCACCTGCGGCCTCTCTCGTCTCCGGTCTTCTTGACTCTGTCTTGACACCGGGCTCGGGCGAGGGAGGAGGAGAGAGTGTAGGTAGATGCTACGCAAGTCTACCGGCACTATAAACCCCTGCGTAAGTCACCGTCCCTGCTCCACAATGCAGTCTGTGGGGCACACGGTGGACATCGTCGAAATCGACGGTCGAACTGTCAGGGGCGGCTTCGGTAGTGCCAACCTCCATTCTTTCGTTTCTGGTCAAAAACCTGGTCATTTGCTCTGTGGGCCAGGGGGTGCGGTGGCATGCCAAGGTGCGGACACGTCTGGGCCAGCCACCTGCGCCCTCCTCCGTCTTCTTGCCTCTGTCTTGACATCGGGTCCAGGCAGGGATTGGGGAAGAGGGCGCAGTAGATGCTGTGATAGTCTGTATTCACTATAAACTGAACCACGCACAATTCAACGTTCTGCTCTCGCCTTGCTCTGGAGCACATGATGGACATCGTCGGAAACGACGGTCGAACTATTGTGTGCGCGTATGTGCGTATTTTAAAGACTGCGTATAACTGCCTCCCTTTCATGGCCCCTCGAACGTTGCTGTCCTCACACTCTCTTTCACCTTTTGTCAACCAAGTGGCGGCCAGTATTAATGTCTCTGAAGGATGCAGGCTGTCTTTTGCGCCGTCAAGTCAGTCTCGGTTACCGGTAGCCGACTAGTCAAATGGTAGACAGCGCTTGCACGCACAGTCATCGATGTCGCATGATACCAACACCTCGAACTGGCCCCTGTGCTAGAGGATGCCCTCTATATTAATACGGTTTGTCCTTTCAAATCAGCTTCTCAGTTGGTAAGTAAAAAATTCGGTTATTTTTGATAGCCACTTGCGAATGACGCATACGTTCTGTTCTGAGTGCATGCATTATTAAGGCGCACGACTTGACTCTTCCAGATAAAGTTACTATCTCATTCTACTCATCACCCAGATTTACTTCAATCATTTATAATCTGGTCTAAGAAGTTTGTAGAAACCCTTGAAATTTACGAAAGTAGCTAGAGCATTGAAAGGAGGTTGTCATCTTACCGAATAAAGTAAAGGCGAAAGGTAGCGGTTTTTGGAAGAGATTTAAAAACGCATGACTGCGTGGTAAGTGGACTACTTCTAATTATTCAATTATGTCTACTGCGATACACCTCTTCCCAAACTTGTACTATTCGTCCATTTTTCACGCGAAAAAGCCCTAAACGGAGTCCAAACGCGTTCGTAGAGCAACTTAAGTGTTGACAGCTTAAAAAGTTGACTCAAGTGGAACTATGGAGAAAGTTTTAGTCCGAGGGATGAGCTCTCAGCATCACTCATTTGTACTCATTTTCGGGGAGTAAAGTAAGGGACAAATATGTCTTCTTTAATTGAATAATCTACACAGGCGAGCTTCTTAAAATAGTAAGATGGCTGGGAGCTTTTGTCGATACAAACGCAGTTCAAAGCAAATCGAAGGAAAAATTTTTGAGTATTTTAAATGTGGGTAACGGCGCGATTCTGTGACGTAATGACACTTCACGGTCCAAGTTAACAACCACGCAAAATGTAAATGTTCGGGACACGGGACATTGTTTTTCAAACCCTCAATTTTTTATTTCCTCCGGGATGCAAACAATGTTGCCTGCTAACCATCAAAAGGATTTGTCATAATACGAAGTTTATTCCTTATTTTCATCATCTACCAACAAACGATGTTGACCTTCAAAATGAATCAAGACTTTTGAAAAACAGTCTATATGGCAACCAGCTTTTTGCTGCATCGAAGACTAGGATATAAAATGAGTCGACTGTTTTTCACTGGGGGCGACGTGTGAACGTTCCTTGCCGGGGAGCGTGATTATACGAGCTTGTTCATGATCGGTGTTTTTGATTCACACTTTGAATTGTTGTGAGAAACTTCTTCCTCCGCTTCAAGTAACTTATACTATTACATGATGAAGAAATTTGTTCCTTTTCTGATAAAATACCTTCGTGTTCGTAAAATGGTACTGTTTAAGAACATCTGGTTGCCGTTTCTGGAGACGATACTGAAATGCTTGAGAGTAGAAGAAAAAGTGGACGTTTTTGGGCACAGACGATAATTTTTCAGACCCAGTTATGAAAAAGGTCGGCGGCCTTGGTAGGATTCGAACCCAGAACAACAAGAACGTAACTCGCGTACAACCATCGCTCCAAACACCTTAGATATGGGGCTCCGATCGAAGCTCTGAATATAATAATATCTGGATCAAGTTACCCGCCCAGCCCACTGCAGAGTTTAGAATTCACCATTTATGATACAGCAGGTTGACTGCCCAGGTAGGATTTCTTGAAGGATTAATTTACCAAATCTGTTCTATCCAGCCTTTTTCCAAAGGCATCGCCTTTGCCTTGTTGAAATACAAGACGGCCAACTGGCATGTTAGGAGACACTTTTTCCTCCACTTTAAGTAACTTGTACCATTACACGATGGAGAAATTTGTTCCTTTTCCCAATACAATACTTTCGTGTTTGTAAATCGTAACTGTTTAAGAACATCTGGCTGTCGTTTCTGGCGACAATACTGAAACACTTGAGAGTAGAAGAGAAAGTGCACCTTTTTGGGCACAAACGATAATTTTGCAGACCCACTTATGAAAAAACTCGGCGGCCTTGGTAGGATTCGAACCCAGGACAACAAGAACATAACTCGCGTACAACCATCGCTCCAAACACCTTAGATATGGGGCTCCGATCGAAGCTCTGAACATAATCTTATCTGGATCAAGGTCCCCCCCACATCCCACTGCAACGTTTAGAATCCACCATTTCTGATAGAGCAGGTTGACTGCCCAGGTAGGATTTCTTGAAGGATTGATGTACCAACTCTGTTCTATCCAGACGTTACCTAAAGGCATCGCCTTTGCCTTGTTGAAATACAAGACGGCCAACTGGCATGAGGCGTATACCAGAACAGCGAAAATTGTAGCTTTGTTGTCTCAGATGGACATCATTGTCTCGAAAATTGCCGAATTAGTTGCCCGAGAAAAAGTCTGCATGCCGGAGAATCGTTGGAGGCCTGCATTTAGTCGTGACATTCTTTAATCGTTGTGGACAGAGGAATTCGAGGCAGGTAACACACCGACGCGGAAAACGTACCGACGTGGACCATGGGGCAGCAATAAGCGCCAGAGCAAATGCGGTCAATAATTGCTCTACGGAAACCTGCAGTCTCATGGTACTTCGACCCCCCCCCAAGTAGATATGCTTCGACAGGGTGTGAGGACCAACAGTCACAGTGATGACGTCCACTTTCCTGTAACCAAGACCGGACGCACTCTTTCCAGAAACCCGTCGTTGTAACCAAAAACATCTTCAAGTTCCGCCAAATGTAGTTTTTTAAAACCTTGCGCGGTAACGACCTCATCACGCCCTTAACTAACTTTTCTCGCTGTGAACGCGATTGCGTGGGGACATCTATAGTGTGTAATTGAAACCTCCAGGGATGAAGTTATTGACATATACAATAGGTGTGCTAACTCATGAAATATTAGCCGAAATTACGAAATGCGTCTTGGTTTCCAAAATATCGCCTAAGTCGTGTTCTAATATCAGTAATCGGGCAGCAGTAGTCTATACTATTTCGGTTACATAAATATGCCGGCGTTTAAACCAGCTCCTTTCAGCCTGCATGCAAAACTCTACTCCGTAAAAAATGACCACTTAAGTAACAATATTTTTTCCCATTGAGTTTCGATACCCTTAAAAATTTAATTATATTTCACGGAAACAAGCATATAATAGCCATTCTTCTGCTCATTCGGTAGAAAATTAAGTCTCCTTCCAATTTTACATTTAACGGAAAGGTATAATTCGGTTTTTAAAACTTTTTTAAATTCCCGAATAATTTTGAACCTAACCTGTCATTACACTTGCATTTAGGGTTTCCAAGTTACAAGCCGTATATTCTCTACGTACGGAAAACCATACATTTTTTTACCTTTCTGAGAGGAAACCACATGGGGTTCATATGATTTAGCAGTAGATTTCAGGCGTATCGTAAACTTTACAAGCAATATTAGTAAATACAGAGACGCGATGGTTTATGATCGGGCATTTCATGGCATTAAAAATCTCATGGTT